GTTTCACGTCATTTTGGGATACTTCATACCTCAACGTGTAGATAAAGAACTCTTATATTGGTATATACCTGTCAGACTAGCTTAGAATTATAATCGATAAATACTCTTGTGAAATTACGTTTCTGGTGTGGCAGCCAGTCTAAAAGAAGTAATACTATGGATTTTAAAACCACGAAGGCTACGGAAGTTACTCCATATTGGATATACAGCTGTAATGACAAAAGTACACAGGTGTAGGCTTTAAGAAAGCTTTATTCAACTGAGAAAGGTTCGCGGATAGTGTCATTTTATAATCCCTGTAAACAGAAATAGCTCTCTCAAAAAGGAGAATAAGGAAAGAAGGGGAGATCACTCTTGATTATTCATAACAACAGCTACCACTTTAATGCGTAGGTTAACATTTTTTTTCATGTTAAAAGGCTATTGACGCTCATATTATTACGCAGATTATCAGTTACGTTAAGCAGTCGTAAGCAAATCATATTTATCATACAAGATTAACGGCAAAAGTGCTTCGGATTCCTATAAAAAAAATCAAAACTAAATAATCTTTAAAAAATAAAATAATAAAACTTACTATTTTTCTATCCCTCTCTCTGATACTTGGAGGGTATTTACCTATAACCTTTATATATATTTATATATAGCCTTTATATCTATTTATAGATAAACTTTATATATATATTTATATATAACCTTTATATATATTTATATATAGCCTTTATATATATATTTATAGATAACCTTTATATATATTTATATAAAACCTTTATATATATTTATATATAACCTTTATATATATTTATTAGCAGCATCGCCCGGCGTTGCCACTGCTTGATTAAAAAATCGTACGACTCAGACAGCAATAGCTATCACTTGACTTAAAATATTTTTGCCCTTCCTTGCCTTTAAAGGAGTGCCTTTCGCCGTGCTGATGTTGCTACATGCCTTACTTCTTGCCTTTCTCACACTGCGAATTTTTTCTAAGCTCTATACTAAACATTAAATCTGTTACGAAAAAAGAACGAAACAAAATGAACACAAAACGATCAGCTTTAAAAGAAAGGACTCGTAACTGAAAAAACCGAATGAAAAAAGAATGTTAACAAAAAATACTTTTTCACATCCAACCCAGTTCTGCGGAATCAGAATCAACGTTGAGTTTAAGCAAGCGAATGAGCCAAATGGAGTGCCACGCAGATTTAAATTTTTCCCACTTGTGACGAATGCAGCTATCATATTTTTTTTTTTTTTTGCATACTAGCATGCTAGTTAAAATTCGTGTCAGTCAGCTGCTGGCTCTCAGGCTGGCCAGTAGAATCTTCCTGCCTATTCGTGGCAGCCAGCTTTAGGCTCTCACTCTGGCCAGTAGAAAATGGCCACAAACTACATGAAAACTGCCGTAGAAGCATGAAGAAATCGATTATTTCCACTATCGATGGGAGTTGGGGAATGCAAAGTCGGTCTTGGCCTTCCCGCTAACTTGGAGCATGTGCATGCAAATTTTGGTGTAAATCCGTCGAAAATTGCGGCCGTGCATTCGTTACACACACACACACAAACACACACACAAACACACACACACACACACACACACACACACATATACTGCCTTTTATAGATAGAGATATAAAGCCTTTATATATATTTATAGATAACCTTTATTTATAGATAACATTTATATATATTTATATATAATCTTTATATATATATATATATAACCTTTATATATATTTATATATAGCCTTTCGGCCATCTTTCAAGAAAAATTAAAGTTAGTATTTCGAATGTTAATAACATCAGACGCAAAAAGGAAAATGCAACAACTTCTAGACAAGGTTGTAAATAAAAGCGATAAGAAAGGACTATCAACTGTAAGAAGACAAAATGTCTGGTCCTTGGCAAAAGAATCAGCCTATGATGTGAGCTACAATTTGAAAACGTCAAAATCATGCAAAGTACAGAGATTTCATTACCTAGGGAGTGTTATAACATCATCGACTGTCCGTTATGTTGGACGAAGACACGACCGCCCCCTCGTTGTTTGCACTGGATTATAGTGCCAAACTGTTGTCGCACAACAACAGCTACACTCCCCCCGGTTTGACTGGCAGCTGATCCCATGGAAAGCCAGAAAGCAGTACAATGTAATCATTAGTCAAATATCTCGCAGTAACATCCTAACTTTACTAGGCTGGAGATATCAAAAGCTTCCGAAGGGAGCCGTGTTGACCAGTCTGATGTAGACAATACTAAGCGACCTTAATCCACCAACCTGCTGACAGTGGCTTCACCGTATCCCTGGAATTGGGAACTTTGGGCTGCTAAGACTTGCTCAAGGTCCCATCCCAACATAGATGGGTGGGGATCGGTTTATGTCTACATTGGTGAGCTGCAAACAAGAGGTCGATCTCAATCCAAAGCGCAAGGAAGTGCTATAACAAATGTCGGAAAACAGGAAGCAAGAATCCGAAGGTGCATTTGAATTGCGAAAGTTGCTTTCCAGAAGCTAAGCAAACAATTAAGAAACAGGAAAATTTCGTTGGAAACAAAGATGAGACTGCTGAACTGCTATATCGAGTCTCCTACATGGGAGTAAAGTGTGGACAATTTTTTTCACAGCTGAAAAGGAGATTTGATATAGAAGAGATATGGTTCTACAGAAGGATGTTGAGAATATCCTAAACGGAAAATTTGACCATCAGAGTAGTTTTAAGTAAAACGGAAAGAGAAAAGATATTTGTACTTAAAATTAGAGAAAGACAGTTGAAATTTCTGGGACATATAGCTATTTACTAAGCCTAGCTTAGATGTGACACAAGGCTGAAAACATGGAGCACCCAATGAAACTTAAACCCACTCCGTCATAACTGATCTAACAAGACAAGCTTGCTGATCATTATACGACGTCCAAGTGCCGAAAATGATTTCCTAAGCGTTGCTTTAGTTGTGGCACAAGGCCGAAAGTGTGGTGATGATCGGACTCATTATTCAGTTGTACATGATCTATCGAGATAAACTTGCTTACACCACGTCGACATGCCCAAATTAATTTAAAAAGCGTTGAGAATGTAGCATAAGGCCGAACGTACGGATCACCCAATGGCGATCAAACTCATTCAGTTAGTTATGTGTCATGCGTGATACACGCTTAGGCGATCATGTATCTTTTGATACACGACTGACGAAGCAGGTTTTTTTCCCCGAAGTAGGTTGCCATTTCTTTTTGCGATAGACCAGTTGCAATCCAAAGCTATAGAACCCGGTCTGTCCTGCTATTTATCTATAGCTGTGGGGAGAAGAAGAGAATTCATACTGAAGGGGTATTCATTTCCGAAGGGTATTAGCATGGAATTCGAACTCAGCTCTTCCATTCCTCAATCCGAGCCCCTATCCATTACTGCAGTGTGCTTCCTTCGGTGGAGTAATGGATAATTTAGGGCCGAGTTCGAATTCCAGTCGAATCCATTACATTCACTTACGGGCTAGTACCCCTGGAAAAATTTTGAATCCTCTTCTTCTCCCTCGGCTATGGGTAAATAGCAGAACAGATCGGGTTCTATAGCCTTGGATGTCAACTGGTGTACTGCAGAAAGAAATGTCAACCTACTGAGGGAAAAATCTGCCTCGTCAGTCGTGTATCTTTCGATACATGATCGCCTAAACGTGTATCACGCATGGCACATAACTGACTCGAACTCACTACTTAGTCGTAATTGATCTAGCGTGACAAAGTTGCTAAACATTACGTAACGTCAAAGTCCCCAAATTTCTGGGCATATAATGCGGACAACGAATTTGGAGAAATCTCACATGAAGTTAAGCAACGAACAGAAGGAAACATCGAATAACCTATCTAACAGGCTTGTGTATAGCAGAACATGGAAGTATATTAAGGCAACAAACGGTAATTAAAGCTGCATAAGACAGGAAACTATGAAGAGCTGTGATCACCTACGTCTTAAAACAATACAGCACGTATATAAAGAAGATTCCAAATATTAATGATCACGTACACAGACCCTTCTCTACAAAGATGAGTTCCGAAAGAGATTTTTCTTCCCTACCTTTCTTTCATTTGGCTTCTATACTAGTAGGATGCATATATTTGACTATCAAAAGACAGGGTCAAAGTTCGAGATGGGACTGTGTTTACCTGTAGGCGGTTATTGTATTCAGGTAAGGATTCAGGGTTCGGAATGTTAGTTTTTAATTGTAACATGTTCGCATCATCCAATTGATTTCTATTAATCAATTTAACCAGGCGCTTATTTAGTTAGCGCCTCCTGTCGGGCACTACTTGCTCAATCTCCTCTTGTTCCTAATTTGCTGTAAATCTACAAAGCCATCACAATGTCTGAAGTTGCAATCATATTAACCTGTTCTGTTTAAAGTCGCGAGTGTTACTTGACTAGCGTGGATAGTCAATGTCTCATAGTTCAATATTTACCTCAGGAAATAAACCCATTACCGTAAAACTGATGCAATATTGGACCAACAATACATTATACTAGAAACCTACGTTTTTATTATTGCCATGTCCCCTTTGGGCATGAATCGAGTTAAATATCTTTGCTGATGTCTGAACTGAAGAAAAAATTGATAGATAGATAGATAGATAGATAGATAGATAGATAGATAGATGGGGAAAAGAAATGAGATAGATAGATAGATAGATAGATAGATAGATAGATAGGGAAAAGAAATGAGATAGATAGATAGATAGATAGATAGATAGATAGATAGATAGAATTTGATTAAAGATCGTACGTTTCTTTTTTATTCTAGTGAAATTTTCTTTACGTACAAGGGAAGGCATATCTGGATGTGATGAAAGTAAATATTGTCCATACTTTTGAAATTCAGCGACAATGTTTCTTTTCTTTAGCAAGATCATGGGAATAATGTTATAAATACTGTTCAGTTTCTTCGTTTGTCCACTTTAAATTCGAGTTTCCTCACGTTTGTGTGATCTGACGACGTCACCAACGAGGCAAGGGCTTGCGGCCATATCTCATTGATACAATCTCATACAATCACCGAATTTAAGCATCGTCTGGCCTGAGCAGTACTAAGATGGGTGACCGCTTGGGAATAAATGGTGGTACCAGCCTAGACGTGTGTATGGTGTAATGGGTAACGGCTCGGAATTTGCAATCGCAGAGTTGAGTTTCATTTCCAGTCGAGTTTGTTTATACAGAGTGTCATTAAAGTTTGGACACAAGCAAAAATGCATTTTTTCAAGAAATTAAATATTCAACAACATTTTATTGAATTAGAATATGAACAAATAACATGTTCAATATGATTTTCATCATTTGTGATACCAAGGTTCACGCACTTTGCAAGTATTTATTTATTTTATTTTATTTTATTTATTTTGTTTTACGGCATATCAACCTCAATGGGTTATTTAATACTGACAAGATTTTTATTGCTGGTAATTTTTTTCCAAAATATATTGCTGGTAATAATTTTTTACAAAATATTTCTGGTATTAAATCATATTTTTAGATTTTCACAGTGTTTTGACACCAGTTTAGAAGTTAACTATTTACCCATAGCTGGCACCCTAACAGTTGCTACTACCCCGGGTCAGGGTGGATCTGGGAACACGAACAATTAAGAAGTGGTTCCACGCTCCTCAAAACCACCTGATCAGAGGCTTTGTTGTTGGACTTAGTTTATCGTCTTACCCAGGACGCGGATGTGGTTTATCGTCTTACCCAGGACGCGGATGTAGTTTATCGTCATACCCAGGACGAGCGATTTGCAAGATTCACTTGAACTCGACGCAATAACTCCACATTGACGTTAATTTAATACGTTCACTATTGATGTGTTGCATCTGTGTTTTTCATTGAGTATAACTTCTCCGTTAGCATACCCTAGCAAAAGAAGTCATTTCTTTCTTCTTTCGACAAAACCATGTTTAGTCTGTGGAGGTCAAACACATACAGTTAGTGAGATTTCCTAACTATCCAGACTTTAGGAACACCTTTTATTCACTTATGCCTAAGTAGCCTTGGAAAATAATGGGTGCGAAAGGCAAATCGTCGCCATTTTATATTTTCAACTTCGCGCATGTGCGCTGTTTGTTTTTGATTTTGTTGACGGCAAACTACAGTAGGGTCAATTGGGCACCGTTTATGAAAAAAAGAGCACCAAAACGCAATTCACTGCGCCAGAAATTTGGTAATGGCATGCTGTACTGCTTGGCATTCGCACCGGGAGCTTCAATACGAAAATTTCCGAGAGTTTCGGTGTCAATCTGAGAATTGTGCAGAGGATTCGGAAAGAGTTAAATGAGTTTAATGGTGATTACGAAGGTACGATAGATAGGAAAATTCTCCCTGGTTGTTCTGATAAGAAAAGAACTCTCAAATGTGTTGGTGAGGGCCTCAGACTCAATAGGGAGACCTACATGTAGTGCTGCCCTGCATCAAGAGGGTTGGCTGCTGGAAGATCATATATATGCCAACAGGAGTTTGCACCTTACCACAAAAACACGAGAGCTCAGTCATGAGTGCAGCCCTTTGATTATTATGTGTGGGAGTAATTGAGCTAGAGAACAGTAAAACTCATTGTAACACCAAAGATGAGCTGAAGGTAAGGGTTATGGCCGCTTTCACCAACTTAAACAAGGAGACCGTCCAGAAGAGATACAGGAGAATTCGAAGTCATCTGGAGGCCGTGTTTGAAGCCACGGGCATTTTTGATTGAATAAATTTACTCTTTCCTATTTCAAGGTATATTTGTGTACTTTTAGTAAATATATTTGTTATAATGAAATGCCATTGTTATTTTCATTTTTGTGTAATTTAGACGATAATTTATTCACCGCACACTGTAGATGAATTCATCTCTACCATCCCAACTATGAGATAACTGGTTGAACTTGTATCAGGGAATCACTATTATCTTCAAAATAATCCTAGAATTTAATAATATTTTCTTACTTTAAATAACCTGCAAAAGGTTTTTGGGTTCAATCTCTATTCGGAATGATTTCAAAACATGTTTCTTCCTTATTTTATAGGCAGAAGCACACAAATGCATGCTGGGATTTTTTCCCAACTAATAAAATAGGTTTTCATCTGACTTAGTCCCGATCTGTCTTGTCTTGATGTCAGAAACCTATGTTCGCTTCTCCGAAGTTGTTTTGTGTGTCATCGCTAATTCTCAGTTTGTGAACTTATTGCCATATTCCTTTTGTTTTCCTTATTAATGATAATTTGACTTGCATACATCGTTTGCATGCTTTATCTTCTTTTTTGACCTGTTCTTTTCTTTTGTTTCTCTTCTTATTGCTTATTGCAAACTTTGTCAATTCTGTTTGTTGAACAGTTCTGTTATCTATGTTGTATTTGATCATGGCTACTCACTCTATAAGATCGATAAGCCGTAAAGAAAAAAAAAAACAATCATTCAAACCAATAGGCCGGCATCTAAGAGAAATGTTTCTTTAGGCTAAATTTATCCATTGGTTACTAAATATCTTTATCCAGAGGAAAGAAGATCTTATTTAGTTTGTGTTTTTTTATTAATTTCATTTTTCTTTATTATACGAGGGACTCAAAAACCTTAAGCTATTTTGCAGTTAATCTTGTATTGTATACACGATTTGCTTATGAGTATTTAATGTTAATGATTGGATTGTCAGTACCTGATAATGTATGTTCATTAATAGGATTATCTTTAGCACATTGAATCGAAAAAATTAAAGTTAAGTTACGGATTCAAGTGGTAGTTGTATATCCATCATAGAATAGTTTCCATAAACTTCTGTACGATTTTAAATTCAACATAATCCTTCCGTTAGACTGTCTGTAACACAAAGCTACGTCTACTTTGCTATTTAACACGTGGCTAGAGTGGTTGGGGAAAAGATAGACTTATGCCTTTTTCAAGAGAATTATTACGAAGGTGAACGCTGTAGACAGTATTTGATCTCGGGTTGCCGATTCCACTTTCAGATTTGATAATCGTTACGCTACCCGCACATCGTTAGTTGAATTAGTCACTTCAGTTTTCTGATTGCTTGTTTTTTATGATGTCATTGGCATGTTAAGCTTGTCTAAATCGCTAATGTTTTTATGTATTAGCATGGAAGATTTTAAAGAAAGAAGACGTCGATTGATGAGGGGAAAAGTGTTTGAGAAAGAGAAAAAAAACGTAATTCAGACATTTGAAATATGCAATATAAAAATGCAAATGAAGCAGACACATATAATTCCTTCTTTTCTATATGCCCAACGCTAGTTGCTATATAGTTACCAGTCAGTCAGCCAGTTAAGTGTCATACGTGATCCACGCTTGGGCGAACATGGCTATCTCAATTAATGACTGATAGGGTAGAAGATTTTCCTGCAATAGCGTACCGTTTCTTTCTACGGCAAAATGCTTGCCAACTAAGACCACAGCGCCTAGTCCGTCCAGTTATTCAACACATAGCTGGGATAGAAAAAAGGTATTCGTACATTTCCCAATGGTATTTTCATGTAAGCGAATATAACGAATGCGACTGAAATTCGAACTTTGGTCTCCGGTTTCTCATTCCGAGCCAATATCTGTCACACCACAACGCAGATCCTTGTACCGTAAAACAATAGTCGGGATCTTAACAAGTACACTGGACATGTGATTTAACACTATAAATAAAGACTACAATAATTTTAGTGGTAATATTAGCCGTTTCCTTATAAGGAAACATTCGGAAATCATTGACTGAGCAACCGGTGTTACGCGAGTCACGATATTCTTTATTGTCTGATCATCTGTTATGAAAGGGTATTATCTGTTCTCTTTATCTCTAACATTAATACTAATCGTTACCTTATAAGGAAACATTTGAGATTCATTGACCAAGTAGTCAGTGCTACTGTTGTTTGAAATCTATCAAATTTTTCTCTGAATTTTTCAGAAAAAATAGGTTTCTCGTATCTGTTACCTGCTATCGAACTTTTCAGTACGAATGGGAGTTTCCTTCCTACTCTTTTGTCCGATGTAGTGTGGAACGTCAACATCTTGATTATGTCATTATTTACTCTTCGAATTACACGTGCTATCCATTTTAGTTGTTGCTCTTGCTTAAAATTCCTCAAGTGATGTTCCTACTGTTATTTGGTACAGTAATTTGCTTGCGATTATGTAGCGCCAGTCCACGAGGTTAAAAGTAGAGTGGTCTTTGCTGAGACCTACAGCCTTCATTCGCTCGAAGCCATCCTAATCGTTGATCTGACAAAGCGAACGGGTTAATTTATATCCATTTTATAGCAGTATTCATCATCATCATCATCATCATTCTCATAACTGGTTTTGGTCGTTGCGTCATTGCACAGCGAGACATCTGACCAGCCCTTTACACATGTCTCGATATAGAGTCATTCATGTGTAATATGTCTTAGACAAAGTAGCCTATCTCTATTCAGGTTAAAACCCCGCCGATGTTCTCGAACTTAAAAGCTCGTCTTGGTTACTGAAGAATCAATAAATTTTATTTTTTATCCAACATTTTTGTGATTAAAAATAACATTTTCAGTAATAAAAAGTTAAATCAAAGAATACTTGGTTAATTTGCAGTGTAACACCCGCACTCAATTCGCATTAAAAATTTCCAAAATATTTATATTTATGTGTAATTGTACATGCTCCATTCGAATCTGGCTTGATAAATTTGATAAAATCTACCGTTTTGGAGTTATCAACAGTGAAATTTGGGATTCAATCGCGTGTCAGCGGCAGCCATTACTCGCGTTGTTTGCATACATTCGCTGTGGCAAGCTAAACGCGGAAGACTACGGAAAGCTAAGCTCGGAACTAATCTTGCATGCCTAAATTCGTCTCAATAACTGCGCACGAGAACTATATACGTAGATACGCTCAGATTGCGCAACGATACCTACACTGATAGCTATTCTGCAGTGAATATATGCAAACAACGCCCGTAATGGCTGCCCGCGACGCGAATGAATTCGAAATTTCACTGTCGATAACTCCAAAACGGTAGGTTTTATCAAATTTATCAAGCTACATTCGAATGGAGCATATGCACATAAATGTAAGTATTCTGGAAATTTTTAATGCGAACTGAGCGCGGGTGTTACACT